ATGGTTAACATCTAGTATCATAACTAGTGAATTTTTTTATTACCAATATAATTATTTGTCTTAAAATTTAAACTTAATTCAATTTAATTTATTGATTCAGTATTCATAGTAGTAAAAATTAAATAAAACTGATAAAATTTAAGGATATTTAATGGAATTAAAACTAAAATTTATACAATGAATTGAAGTATATCATGCCAACAAAATTAACTAAATATCGCAATGTAAATTAAATGGATCTTCATTCAGCATGCTTACTCTTTGAAAAAATTCTGTTGTTTCTACATAAACTAAAAATCACACTATATAATATAATTGAACGAAACAAAAACTAACCTAAGCAAATACTTAAAATATGTTTGATGGACTTTATTCACACAGAATCTGATGTATACTTTAATTCAAATGAGTAAAAGCAAATAGAATGAACAAAAATTTTTGATTTTAAGCATATTTGTTTGATTATAAAATTTGAATCATCTAAACATGCTTATACATAAAAGAAATTTGACATATTTTACATAAAATATTAATAAACTACTCAACATTTTGAAAAGAATATCTAAATGAGAAACTTTACTAATTCAATCAAGTAACCAACTAAAAATAAACATTTTTACAAAGTATAAATGTTTGCATCTAACAATATTTTTATATACCAATGTGAATTTTAAAACTATCTTAAAATACACATCAGATAGTAATTTGATGTATACATTATTTTCTACTAACTTTGTTATATAAGTTTAAAGAATAAATTCTTATCATAAGTAAACAAATAAACTTAATTTAAATAATTAATTTTAATCATTAAATCTTCTGTATAAATTTTAAAATTGCAACTTTGTATATATGTTAATTTCATTCTTTTGTCTTTATTGTTTTGAACTCATTTTTTTTTCCTTTGTGGTAAATATTAAAAACTGAATATGATATTTTGATGTTTTCTACAGTTTGAGTATTATTTTATTAAATTTTATATTGTAAAAGTAACATATTTATCAAAATAATCCATTATTCTCCATTTTTTTAAATTTTTTCATGCATAATTCAGATTACATTATGAATATATTATCTAATATTTTAATATTTAAAAATTAAAGCTAAATAAAAAAAGCAATAGATTTGAATATATGATCAAATATGAATTGTAGATTAAATTTAATAAATGCAATTATTCAATTACATTAAAAAATTATAATATTTATAGTGAAATAAAGTTTATTTACCATTATTAGGATCCATTTCTTAAAAGTTGAACTTCTTATAGCATAAGTTATATCTTATATTGTATTAACTTTAATATAGAAATCACAAGATACTGTCACACATGACAAATTTCGATTTCTGATAATTCTGTCTAGTGGACACGTGATAATTATTATTATTTATCAGATTAATAAGCAATGAACATAAAAAAATTAAAACATCAGTTTGACGGATAGAAACAAGATATTTTGTATTTAAATAATTCGTACAAATTGAAAGCAAAACTATTTTTTTTTTTTTTTTTATTAATGTTAAATAGGTCGAGCACGGTATCAAAATATTAACTGATATAACGTTATTGATAGTATATGATACATTTTTGTTGTACAAATTAGTTTCTTTTCTACAGTATGCAGTTCATAAAAAGAAATATTTTGTCGTGTTTTAAATATAAAATAATTGAATATTTGTATTATTTTACTGTTAAATGACAAACATATTCATCATGTCGTATTCGATATTTATAACTGTTTTTTAAAATAGCATTAGTATTCAGCAAATTTATGTATTTAATACGTTATAGAAGCTAATTTCGATCAAATTAAGGTTGTAATACTAATAAAGTATAATAATATTTAGTATAAAACACCAATTTCCAAACAGGATGTAGCACGTGACTTTTAAATAATGGTTTTATAACCTCGTTTTTTTATTTTGTTATTGGTAAACTTTTTCACGTAAGAAACAAATTTTATAATTTTATCACGAAAAATAACGACTGATTAAAATTTTAAATTTATATTTTATACTAAACATCTATATTATAAAAGTGAATTTATTAGATTTTTTTTCAAAGTTTTATTTTTCAAATGTGAGAAATTTTTCCCATATATCAATATCGAACAAATATCGATTGTGGGCGGTTGATAGCAGAGCTTACTAAATTTTCCTCAATAAATGAACAAATTTTTCTATTATTTATTTAAAAAATATGACCTTCTGAAGATACATTCGCTATCGACGGTGTAATCCAGATCCTTGGCTATACACTGCACAAATCCTCCTTTTCATTCCCTTAGAACTCTATATATATTGAATTTTCTAAAATAGATACATTATTATTCTAATTTACTTAAACGTTTTGATAATACGTTAAAGCTAAAATTTTCAAAATTCTAATAAGAATTATTTCTACAGGTAAACATTTCCCTTTTTAAAAAATTTCCACGTGGATCTTGTGTCTTAGTCGAAGAATTAGGCTTATTCTATATACAAGTCGTTTTTTCTTCTTTACGACGAATTCTAAAGATCACAATCTCAATTAATAATAATAATCATAGACTTTTCTTATAAAATGTGTAGCATGGTTAACTTTAATACGTGCTGTAACAATACGAATATTTTTATTTTTAATTATTTTTAAGATATTTTGTCCTTTATTTCCTTTATGTAAAAAATTTTCCGTATTTTATGTTTTACAAAACAGGTTTTTCATTATGTATTATTACTTTATGGATTATCTCAATATAAAATTGAACTTAACGCTGACAGATTTATATTAATTAACATATATTTCAATTAATATATTTTTATTTAAATATACATTGTAATTAGCGACTTATTTACTCATTTATATATACAGTATACAGTATATATCTTTAATTTTCAAAACATTATCACAGTTATCGGTGAATCTCAAGGGCAATTACCTCAGTCACGAATAGCAGTTTTAGGAGTATGGCTTATTAAATTTTAAACTTTTTAACCATAAAATCTCGTTTAAAATATAGTAAAGAATTTTATTATGGGGATACATTTTATATAAAAATAAAATAGTTTTATAAAATCATATTTTGTCAATAGTTTGGTAATTTCTTTATTTTTAAATATTAAGATTTCTTTGGATTCACTGAATGGTCCTACTGAACGAAGAGATATAATGGATCAACGGGAGGAGAAATATGGGAACCAACCTAAACCGTAGTATTTCAATAAGTGAAAGAAAACAATATAACACTGCCAACACATTTTGAAACAAGTAATTAACTATAAACAGATTATTAAGAGTACATTGTATTTACAATGTACTTTAACATATTTATATGTATATAATTTATAAATTCAATATCGTCGAGATATTTTTGCATGTTTCTGCAGATACCGTGATATTAATCGTTTATTTTCGCTTATTATTAAAATAATTGTTTTAATAAATTTATAAACATTATACTTTTTCTTTGATTTAGTTCAAATTTTTCCACTTAAAACATTTCAGAATATAAAGTTTGAAGATACATTAATAATTTATTTTCATTTAATAATCTTGTCTTGATATATAGAAAATATTACAGTAATGTCGCATTTATATGCGAATATAATATATTAAAGTTCAATTTCCATAGTTTAGCATTAACAAAAAATAAAATAAGAAATTATCAATTCAATCTTAATTATATTGTGTTTCTTATTAATTTTTTTATTTAATTGAAAATAAGATCACTCTTTAAATTTGGAACTATATATTTTTAAATAATAATAATTTGCATATTTATTTTATTTATACATATTTTCATCTAGTTAAAAATACGTTAAGAACTATGAAAAAGTTATAAGTTTTTTCCAGGTAAATGAATTTATTTAATGTTATGTTGAGTATGGTATATAGTTAAATTTTCCTATATTCTTTTACTCAATAAAAAGGTTATATGATAAATTAAAACCATGAATTATATTTACGATATATATAAAATATACTGTTTAAGTTACTATTATAATTTAATTTGGTAAAATATCATATAAGCGAAAAATCAATTTAAATCAATCAATGGAATGTAAAATTAAAACTAAATTATTTAGTTTTAATTATAATAAGAAATATAATAATATATATATACAGTATATATATACATATATGATAATNTTAGGCTGCAAGGTTTAAAAACTGCATGCCAACATCAAACAGAGGGTACTGTAACCATACATACCCTCTATTTTCTCCATATGTACCACTCAGGTTTTCTTTTAGTCCCCCTGAAGGGTCTAAAAGAAAACCTGAGTGTAGCAAACATCAATGATTCAGTGCCATCATGAATATCTAAGTGTAGAAGTTAGTGCCGAGTGGCTGTTAGTAGGAAGACTTGTAACTACTTGTTAGCCCACGGATTTTTACGGGGCTCTTAAAAATTCAAATTTTATTTTAAGTGTAAATATCTTTAGGAAAAACCCGAGGAATTTGAAATAGATCAGATTTCACCAATTGTATAACAACTAGCTGGGAAAGTTTACACTTAGGTGTGAAGAATGCACCGTCATCGTCAACAAAAGTCAATCACGTGTCAGTTTTCCCACACAAATGATATAAAAGCTCAAATCCCCAGAAGCTCGGGGCGATCTCTCGGAAGTTATACTTGTCGATGTCTCCCGGACCTCCATATTGGACTCGACCCGACGAAAGGAGAAGATACCATATAGAAGACCATAGGAACTTCCACATAACACTTAATTGCCACATAGAGCTCTCTTTGAGGTAATTATTTGAACCTGCAGACTCTCTCTCTCCCTAAGCGTATTTTTAGTTTAACCCTTGGAGGAAGGAGTATAGTATGTTAGCCGCATTTATTCTGAGTTGTATTAACTGCATTTAACCTCTAAGAGACGAATTATTCTCATTCGTTTCAACAAATGACGTGAATGGACATGATCAGTAGAGTTTATACGTTATTGGTTGTTTCGAAATATTTTAACCAATAAGAGAGGAGGACTCATTGTGGCGCTAAAGTCTCTTGTTGAACGACGAGGTTGTACTGTAATTGCGCAGGCGTACTGAAGTTCTTCATTAAGTGTCTATCGGATCGCGATTCAAAGACCGTACTGTGGATCACCTTAATATTGGGTTTTGTGTTAATTTTTTCAAATATTCGTAATGTCGACCAGTGGAGCAACTCCGAAGAAGGTAAGAAAGATCGAAGGATCTGTTTCTGGTGGGGAAGGCGATGAAAGCAGAGATTATGATGCCGAAACACAGAAAGCGCTAGAAGAGATCGACGCATGCCAAAACGAAATAGACGCCTTGAACGAGAAAGCTAGCGAAGAAATACTTAAAGTAGAACAGAAATATAACAAGTTAAGGAAACCATTTTTTGAAAAAAGAAATGATCTGATTAAAAAGATTCCGAACTTTTGGGTAACTGCTGTATCCTTTTCCGTCAAGTCCAAGTTAGGCTTAGATAGTCCTTTTACCTAAGCCTAACGTTTAGGGTTAGCAATGAACAGTTCTTCTTATGCTTTGTTCTTCATTAGGCTTAGTGTTAACCCAATGATCAAAAGAAACCATTACAATTGTGAAATTTAACATGCTATTTTTCTTTTCAATGTGAGTATAATGATTCTAATTATAAGTTTAATTCAATATTTTATATCTTATATATAAATTAATGAATTTGTAAGTGAGTTAGGCTTAAGATCATTTTCGTCACGTGTGTATATAAACAGTTGTACATTTCGGTCATGTTTTTCGACTGCAGGAGCTTAACTGTAGAATTTAATTAAAACTAGTAACTAATTTTTTAAATATAACGGAAATTAAATAATATAAATATATTACATTTTGCACAAATTAACATTAATCGGTTAATTTATTTAATTACAATAATAATAAAGTAAATTAATTTTTAATAGTAAGTTAAAGAATTAGTATAGAAAATATAGGATTTTTTTATGGCTACTGATAGGATAGATATTAGTTACTAAACAAATTCTTGGAGGCATCTTTGCAATTACTTGATTAATTTTTTTTATTATAAGTTTGTATAGTTTACAGTCAATGGTTAACTGTTTCCTAAAGCTTTTTTTATTATATTTTATTATAATAAGGTGAATGGAATTCAATTTTAACTGTTGAACACTGGAATTGATAAAACCACTTACAAATATTTCATATCAAATGATGAATTTCAGTGAAATATCTCTCTCAAACAATGTAAATTATAATAAATATTAAAAATTAGGATAATTTATTTTAATTTGCATATTTTAGTTTTACTTTATTGTTTGTTAATTTTTTTTATTACTAATTTAAAACTTGGGTAACATTTTTTTCCCCCTTGGTTTAAAATTATTAATAGTACAGTAGTGCATTGGTATCTTATCGGTACAAAAACATATCAAGATTGTGAGTGCATGATGTTTATATATTTTTGATCATTAACTAAAGGCAAATTGTATAATGTTGTAAAATTTGATAAAATCATTCTAAATTTTGACAAAATAAGAAATAAATACTAAAACTTAATTGTATCTGTCATCCTACTAATGATGAAAAAAAAGTGAATGTTCTCAAACAATTTTTCATATTTACAACAGAATTAATTTGCATAAGTTTGGTCCTTTTTAAAAAGAAGTTGTCATTTTGTGAATAATGTGTGTTTTATTTGTGAATTAATGTCTATTGAATCTCTTAAATAAATTTATTTTTGTAGATATACATATCTGCGTATGTATATGTAAAATGCATAAAACTGAAATTTTTTATTTGTAGATGTTCAATAGTAGTTTGTTTTAATATAATTTCACACCAATAGATGGCGCAACAAGTTTATTTCCTTTTAAGATCAGTGAATGTATGATATTAACTGTTGGATATATTTTTTTTATGCATGAATATTTTTATTGAAACATCTAAAAATTACATAGATAAATTTTATATTTTATTATAATTTTAAATTGTATGTATTGTATTCTACACTGTAAGACTGTTTTCAGTATGTAATGATACATTTAAAAATATTACAAGTTTCAAAATGTGGGATTAGAATATGTTGTACCAACAAAAAATACGTTTTTAAAATTGCTGAAATGTATTAGTTGCATCTTATCATTAAGAGTGGTTCACAGTATTTATCCAACACAACAGTTCTAGTATACAGGTTCCTGTTTAGTAATGTAGAATTCTTGCTAAGTCTAGTTATGCTGCGATGTTGAACTCATTTCAAGCTACTGCTTGACTCCTCCCACCACTAGAATTCTAGCTAGTTCAGTCAGCTTCTTTTATCTATGCTAACTTCTAATAGTGACATCATTGTTTTTTCTCGTAAGATTTGCAAGATGGCTGCTCATGTTGGACTAAACATATTTTATTATCACAAAGTTATTCTCTCATTCTAAATCATTAACTCATTCTAAAATGACTTTGAAATGTAAAATTATCATAAGTCAGTATAACACGTACAAGAAAGACTTCAGCCGTACACGAGGTGTTTAGCCAGCGGAAAAAAGAGCAAGGGAAAGGGGAGGGAGAGGAGATAGATAGATAGAGAAAGGTAGGATTCCTCTGAATGGTGCACGTATGGCTACAGTACCTTCTATGTTTGATGTTGGCATGCAATTTTTAGGCTGCAAGGTTTAAAAACTGCATGCCAACATCAAACAGAGGGTACTGTAACCATACATACCCTCTATTTTCTCCATATGTACCACTCAGGTTTTCTTTTAGTCCCCCTGAAGGGTCTAAAAGAAAACCTGAGTGTAGCAAACATCAATGATTCAGTGCCATCATGAATATCTAAGTGTAGAAGTTAGTGCCGAGTGGCTGTTAGTAGGAAGACTTGTAACTACTTGTTAGCCCACGGATTTTTACGGGGCTCTTAAAAATTCAAATTTTATTTTAAGTGTAAATATCTTTAGGAAAAACCCGAGGAATTTGAAATAGATCAGATTTCACCAATTGTATAACAACTAGCTGGGAAAGTTTACACTTAGGTGTGAAGAATGCACCGTCATCGTCAACAAAAGTCAATCACGTGTCAGTTTTCCCACACAAATGATATAAAAGCTCAAATCCCCAGAAGCTCGGGGCGATCTCTCGGAAGTTATACTTGTCGATGTCTCCCGGACCTCCATATTGGACTCGACCCGACGAAAGGAGAAGATACCATATAGAAGACCATAGGAACTTCCACATAACACTTAATTGCCACATAGAGCTCTCTTTGAGGTAATTATTTGAACCTGCAGACTCTCTCTCTCCCTAAGCGTATTTTTAGTTTAACCCTTGGAGGAAGGAGTATAGTATGTTAGCCGCATTTATTCTGAGTTGTATTAACTGCATTTAACCTATATATTGTTATCGCCTTATGTATCATAGCTTAGCCATTCAATAAATGTTTATTATTTTGTTGAACCTGTTTCCTGTCATTTAAGGACACCTGTCAGCTTCCTCACCCCCTCCCCACTCAATTTGCCCTCCTAGCCATCCAACAGACTCCGAGATCGGGTTTTACCAGCCTGTGCAGAGTAAGTGGTCATTTGGATTAACCAGTGACCCACTGCTAATCTCACATACTAATGAAACTGAATGTGAGTGTGAATCTTAATACTATTTAACAGCTAGATAGACAGTGCGAAAACAAAACAAATCAACACGACAAACTAGACAAGATGAAAGAATGGACAAAAGACAAACATGCAAGACCCCAAATTTTTTAATTTAATTTAATTAATTAATTTATTATTTTTTTTAAACATTAACTTACTAAACTAACCTACCATAACTTAGGATGAACCTAACCAGAAATCAAGCTAAGAGTCCCTAATCTAACTTACAACTATGACTAGCTTAAACTAACTGAATTTAGACCAAAAAGAAGATGGAACATAAGAATTAAAATACAAAGTTGAAAGCAGCTATATACTGACAGTTGAAAAAAGCAAGGGAAAGCTAATTCCCATCTGTGTCTTCGGAGCGAGTGCTCTCAAGGGCCCCACTAAGGGATATAAATGTGAGTAGCTGATGGAACATTGTATGTGTATGAATAAGTTGGTTGCAAGGTCAGTTGTACCCTTCAAGAATAGCAGTTCTCATTAAACTATCCCTAATGTGATTGTGCCTATTGCAGCAAAAAACTAGGTGAAGTGGTGTTTGGTCTTCCAGAATACCACAAGTAAATTGTAGGTTGTCCCCAAGGTTAAATCTATGTAAATATTGCTTATAAAGTGGCCATGTCCTGTAAGTAGCTAAGTGAGGGAGTAACTGTGGTAAAAGTGGCAAAGAATTGCCGTAGTGTCAGCCTTGAGGATGAAAGTGTAGATGAGCCTACCAGTGGTGTCACGATCCCAGCTGTCTTGCCAGAGAATGAAGATTTGTTTCTTGATTGTTAATGTACAAGGTAGGAATGTAACTGAAAGTACTAGTGACTGAAGACTTTGCAGCTTGTTAGGAAAGATGGTCAGCAATCTCGTTGCCGAGAACCCCCACATGACCTGGAACCCATTCAAAATCTATTCTAATGTTGTCTAAGTGTCTGAGAATGTGGTGTATGAGATGGGTGAGTTTTAAGCATCTATCAGACTTTGCAATCCTGTGTAAAGCTGACCCTACAGTCAGAATAAATATGATAGTGTAAGTAGTGTCTTTTGTCCTTCATACACTTAATGTGAATTAAGCTCATATAAATAGCTAAAGTTTCTGCTGTGCTATTGAGCAGTGAGTACCTAGATCAATGTTTCTCAATGGGGGCGATATCGCCCCATGTGGGCGTTTTTCCATGTTGAGGGGCGATTTGTAACAATTTATATTTTGGGGGCAAAAAACAATTTTCTGGGCGATATAGTAAAACATTATATTAAGAATAATTAGATATTTTATTTGTTATATCGTACAATAATTAAACAAATAACATTATACTAGTCAGTCTATTCAATGCAGTACGAATTTGGCGTTAGCCTTGGCCCTCGGCATCGGAATTTTGAAGTGAGGGGGCGATACTACGTAACGGTTTTATTGAAGGGGGCGACATTTTGTTAGAGGTTGAGAAACACTGACCTGGACAGAAGCAAGCGTTGTGGAGCTCACAGCCTAAGTTGGAGTAAACTACAAAAGCAGCACCCACGTCGTCACCCATCTTGTAACCATCAGTGTAAATCCTAAACATGGAATGATCACCTGGATCTTTAAAGTAAATGTCAGTGGCAAGCTGGTGGAGGGTGGTAATCATAAGTTGGGGGGTATTTTTGTTGATGCTGAATTTTTTGATATCATTAATCAAGGTCAAACTGGGAGGAATCTTACCTACTCTAATTATTTTGTCAACGTCCAAGTCGCTATAATCTCTGTCTATAGTCACCAGGATAAGGTGACGCAATTTTCCTGTCAAATAATTCGTTTAATTTCTAAGTTGATAGGGTCAACCCTGACAT